AATCTGAAAGGCGGCCTAATCCACAGCCATATAAAAAGCAAAAGTTACAAGAAAATAACACGACACCAACAATGCTTGTTGTTGAAGATCATTCAGAATCTTTTGATATTGTTGAAATTGACTGAAATTATGAAAGACAGCATTGTACTGTACACTAATTTACTATACTTTCTTTACCTTAATCACTGATGTTCAATAAAGTTTACTTTAAATAAAGATACATGTATAATGTATATATATTTATTCTCAATTTTGTTTTATTTACTGTCGTTTTAACTTGTTTTCACAAAGCTTTAATTGTCGAATCACTGTTATGCAACACACTGCTCACCATTTTAGCTCCTCGTTAGCAACATGCAACATCTGTTAGAGGCTCTAAATCAACATATTCTGTAAATAGCCAGTTTACCTGTACATCTAAATGTTTAGTTTATTGTATTATTTGTAACAACTGTGACCAAATCTATGCAGGAGAAACCAGCCGACTGCTCACTGAACATACATGAGAACACTTACATAGCATCCTCATTAAAGATCAAGATAAACCTGTAGCTCGGTACTTTAACACAGCTGGTCATTCTTTTGAGCACTTTAAAGTACTTGCCTTACATCATGCCCCCTCCAACACCAATAAAAGAACCACTAATAAAAAAGAAATAATTTTTAAATGGGGTTAAGTCCTTTGGGTATTAATGAACAGTTCAGCTTTTTATAATTTTTTTTTCTTAAATACCTTTCTTTTATTATCTTAAAATGTTTAAGTTATTTCTTTCTTTGCTATGTTGTTCTAAGTTGTTCTATATTTCTAATAATTTTTAATACTGTTATTTAATTACCAGCTCTATTATATTGTTTAATTCTGGTTCTTCTATCTTGCATGACATTCTGTTTTCGTGTATTGTTTCACTTCAAAACATATCTGTAATTGTCATTAACTGACAGGCTTGTTTCTGGCTTGAAAAAGAGCATTTGCTTGAACCAGTCTAATTTATTTTATCACCTTTGCATTTTTCTACTTATATATATATAAATAAATAAAGGAAACTATGCTCAGAAGTCATTGCATTAACTACCTTAAATGAGTTATTGAACTTGTATACTAGACGTAGTAGCTAGCCAATACATTTCTGTTAGTGATTACTGACTGAAAAAAAGAAAAATGAAACTTGCAAAAAAAAATTATTTGACTTTTCCATATTGTCCCTGACTGTATACACCCTGTATAAACATCAATTGCTTACAATAAAAAACACTTGGAGAGATAAGCCATTCTACAAGGTAATATTGTTATAACAAAACATTATTTAGATAAAGCATATTAATTCATTTTACTTCTTACCCTCAGAGCTTTAAGAAACTCATCAAAATTTAGATGACCACTTCCATCTTTGTCTATATCATTGAACAGCTTTTCAATTTCATGTTTTTCTAAAGAAATCTGAAAGTCTCGAAGACCTTTACTAAATTCTTCTAAGTCCAATTTCTTATCCCCAGAATCATCCATTATCCGAAAGGCTCTAGAAGTTTATCATCAGAACACATTTATATTATAAACAAAGTCCTCCAATGTATTTATAGATTACATTAATTACACAAAATTTTCATTACTTGTTTTAAAAACTGTTTCATTCAATATTTGTTTTTGTTTACTTGACTTTTTGGTGTTAAAAAATTCTGACAATTACAACAAGAGATTAGGTCATTGGTTCCTGAAGTTTTTCACTCCATGAACCAGCAAAATCTTTATAAAAACATATTGACTGTTAGTAGTATATAGGCTAGTTGTGTTGTTTCCTAATTTAGCTTCTTCAACAATAAAGAAGGAAACAACATTTTTCACCAATTCCTAACACGTACAAATTACAGATTTTACAAAAATCAAATCTTTCATAAAACTTTTTTTCCACTGGATATTTCTGCATACCAGCAGTGAAGAACCACTACATTAGACTGAGTGTATCTAACCAAGTAACTGAGTCTCAGCTTATCTGTACAAGTACCTGTAAAAAAGATCAATAACCTTATCTTCCACTGATAATCAATCATTCAGACTGATTGTATGTTCGTATATGTATACCAATAGTATTCATATACATACTGTATCCATGAAATGACAGTTATTTGATTGCTATTTCCTTAAAATGATGACATACATATACCATTGCAATTAAACTTACCCAATCAGGTACTCAGAAACTACAAATGCTAAATCTATAATATTTGGTTTCTACTTAAAAACTGAATATACAAGAATTCATGGTTTCATAAAAAATACATTCACATTTTCAGGAAAATATATTTTCACCACCATCTTTACAAATAAAAGTATTACATGTTAAATTATGTTTTTTAAGAAACACAATAACTTATTTTACACTTTTTTCTTTTAGAACACATTTATGACAAAAAATTCAAGACATTGAATAAACATGTCACATAAAAAAAAGGATAAATCAAAACACAGAACATTGAATAACTTGAGCTTTTTAAAGAGGTGACCTTTGGAAGATACTATGATCATTCATTTTCTTATGTTCTGTTTCTGTATATTCTTGAAAAAACTACAATTACAAACTATAGGAAAGAATTCTTGCTTCACAAATAGTGCATGGGAATTTAAGCTTGTGGAAATGACTAAACACTCTTTAAACAACTAATTTTGAAAATAAAACATCATATTCATGAGCAACTAATCTACTTCAAATTACACATTATAATGGCAAACCGATTTAATAGAAATTATTTACATTACTGCAGAGAATAGTTTACAACAATAAAGGATATACCTGCACATTAGAACAGTTCATGTGCATGTAAGAAAATAAATAAAAACTGGAAAAAATTAAAGATGTTAGCAGTTTATACATGTCTACAATTTACTTCAAAATACAAGTGATGTTAAAAGAGGAGATAAAACACTGATGTTTATGGTAACAAAATAAACAAACTACTGACATTAAGTACATTAAGATAACAAAAAAAAATTCATTTATTATCTACGACCATGTTTTTATGAAACAGCTTCCACTTATATTTTTGAAATACTGAACTACATCATGCTTCCTAGAACTTATTTTACATGCAGAAACAAGCTGGACACCAAATCACTACCTTAAACCAAAAGACTTGGATACTTGAACAACCTGAACAAATAAATATTAGATGCAAATGTAAAAATAGAGTTTTCAACCTGAAGAACAGAATATAAAGTTGCATAATTAACAAAGTTTAGCATTTTCAGCTGCCACTTACCTTGAGGTTATTTACTGACCACCGAAATCCTTGTACATCAAAGGGATGTTTAAAAGCTATGGTAACAACCAACCACTTGGTCCCTGGCCATCCTCATGGCTAGTGTCTACCCAGGTAAAATGCAATGGTCCATTTGTAATTTAATTGTAGTGGTTTGAAAATGTATTAGGTCATCAAATTAATGTTGCATTTTGGAACACTTTCATTAACCACCCCCCAAAAAATGTACATCATGTATAATAGTTTAATAAACTGCCTAAACATCACATCAGTGTAGCCCATATAATGTATAAAGTTTAGTATACTCTAATCCCTTATAGTGATGGCACACAACAAGACAGATTCAGCATGTAATGCTGTTTGAATACAAGAAGGGAAACAATGCCTCTTTAGCCAGAAAGAATATCAAAGAAGTTTATGGAAATGTTTTGAAAGTTCGTAAGTGTCAATAGTGGTTCAGCATATTTCGTTCAGGTAACTTTAGCCTTAAAAACTATGATGGCAAGGGTCGACATGTTGGAATTGATATTGATGCTTTGAAGACGCTTGTTGAGTCTAACTCAAGGCAACACACTTGTGAAATGGCCTTGAAATTGTATGTCTATCATGAAACAATACATAAATATCTAAGGAATATGTGAAAACTCCATAAAGAAGATGTTTAGGTGCCTCAAGAACTCTCCGATGATCATCATTTCCAACTTATGAATGTTGCACTCGTCTCTTCTAGCATGTACTGCACATGAACCATTTTTGGACAGAATTGGCACTGTTGATGAAAAATGGATTCTCTATGCAAATATTAAATGCCAAAAACAATGGCTCAGTCCTAGACAAAATCCATTTCCGACCCCAAAACCTGGACTCCATCCACAGAAAGTGATGCTTTGCATTTGGTGGGACATCAAAGGAGTAATTAATTTCAAATTCCTCAGTCGACAGTGAACTGTCAATGCAGAGATTTATAGTCAGCAACTGGAACATTTAAATCAAGCCCTTCACTCCTCACAGAAAAACGTTAGAATCTCAAACTCAAATGGTGGAGTGGCTGGTACAAATTTTACCTAAATGAGCTCTCTTAAGAAAGCACATGGAGTGTGACACTCGATGGCAAGTGCTTTACAGGGGCACACCTATGAGAGACCATATCTTGTCTTGACAGTGGTATAATCTTTGAGGATTTTGAGAAAGGAGCTGTTAGAGAAAGGAAACAATAAAAACCCTAATAACAAGCAAGGAGGAAAGATATGGTAAACCCCAAGAACTGGGATCAGTGAGCAAAATCAAGAAATATGAAAGAACACAGGCAAAAGATAAGGAAAAAACATACCTGAAAATGAAATATAGAAATATATTGGAAGGTTAAGATTATTTTTTGAAAAGTAAGGCACTATCCAAAGCAAATCACGTGAAATTCGTAGTTCAGTAGATCAGACTGAGGAGAAAGAACATTGGCCAATGGGATGGGAGTAAGAAACCCAGTAAGCACAAGGTAATCCACAACATGTTGAACAATGGCTACAACATTCTGAACAGATAAAAAGCCTCCAAATGCCATAGTAGAAATAGGCCTATGCTTGTAGTATTGACACTCACCATCATTTGAGAATTCATGATAAATATTACAGCTCTTGAAACAAAAGCAAAAAAAATAAAAATCAAAGTTTCTTAACAAAAGAAATTCTCATCAAACTGAACTGAATATGTCTGTTCAATGCAATGCTTAGAAGAAGAATGAAGTTATCACAAGTGCAAGTGCATAGGGAAAGTTACTGTGCATGGAGGTTCTGTTGCTCTCCTATTGGTGGAGGGCTTTTGTCGCATGATGATATCATTATCTACCAGTGCAGTTCATGTTAAACAAGTGAATTTAGGTGGTAGTTACCTCAAGGCTAGTGGCATGTAAATCTCGTAGGCAGTTGCATGAGGAAGACTGAATTTCTGTGTGAGAGGTGAGTTATTATCTCTAAATTGATGCCTTCAGAAAGGATTACATTACAAGATAATCCATTATACAGTTCTCCTCCCTGTATTCTGGAATTTTAAAAGCATGCATGGCATGAAATTTTAATGTTTGGAAAGGATATTTGTACTGTTGAACTATACCATTAAAGCAAAGAAGGAGAAAGATTACTCTATCATAAACAACATGTACCAGCAATACACCAGATACTTTGAATTTAAATAGTTTATCACCAAAGTAATCCAAGAACTCAGCTATCCACTTCGGTTAAAGTAGGAAATTTTCTTGAAAAAATGTAAGATAATTCACAAGCTTCTTCCAAAGAAAATAGTTGAACAGAGAGCCACTTGTCAAAAACTATACATATCTAGCATGGGACAGATATATGGCACCACACTGCAAAAAATCATACAACTCTATACCTACTGAACATTCTGATAGTGATACATTTCAAAATTGATACAGAACATGTCACTTAGGGTTTTCAAAGACTTTATCATGGTTGCAATTTATAGTCATAAAATAGAATTAAACAACTGAAAAGCTGAGAAAAATCCAAAGGTAAATTCTACATACTGTACTAATAAATCAGCATGTTAATACCACTATACAATGAGAAAATACCATCTTTCTATAGACTGAATGGCAATAACATATGGTTCCATTATCACAAAGCATCCAGCAATATCTAAAAGTCAACATGCAAGTCACAGAAGAAACAAATTCAAATTGAAATTTATGCTAAAACCACTTACAGACATCTTCTATGGACTTCTGTATCATTTGGTGCTCACATGGGCCCTCAAAGTTATATATTGTATTTTATGCATGTGTGATGTACTTTGAAAAGCATATGTAATTAATTAATTGGGATAGAAGAGGCACTGATCTCAGTGTTTTGTAAAAGTCTTCTGCAAAAAATGAAACTTGAAAAAAAAAAGTTCACTTGAACAAAAGTCTATGAATAACCAAAATTGATCTCAATCCAAATACCTTCCTAGCCCTTTAATTCCTTTTGCTCCTCTCTGCAGGCACTGGTATCGCAATTTCTCTATTGGGTTTTTAGCCTGAGTGGCCATTTTCTGGGCTTTCTGCTTCATTTCTTCTTCTTGGCGATCTACTTGGATGGCTGACATAGTTCTGTTCGAATAAATAGGTAAAAAGCTCAAATAACATTACACTATGCAATACTAACACTATAATTTTAAGAAATGCAAGTTCTCAAAATATGTTAACCAACTTTCTATATGTATAAAAACATGATTGTACTTATCATAAATACATTATACAGTAGTTAAATTTTAGGTAAAAACCATTTTTACAGCATTCTTAGCTTGATCAACAACCAAGAAATAGCTACTTTTCAATAAGTGTATAATAACTTTATATAGCTTGTATGTATGTGTGAAGACAAATTTTACAACTTTGAAGGTAAACTTTTTTTTTGTCTAATTTCTACTGCTTTAACTGCATTGAAACATATTAATAATTGTTAATTCAGCTGTAGTTACAGGACTGCAATTTCCTTTTGTGTGTAGGCTTTTGTTTCAAAGTTATGAGTGTAATGTTAGTAAGTGTTCTGAAGTGCACCAAATCATACACTTCATGTTGTTTCGTTGCATTTATTTTAGTATTTCTTGAAATATTGAAGGAAATTGTCTTTGAAATAGGCCATTACACAAAACTGCATAGGATATGTGTAGGCTGATCTTACTAGTAGTTATTCATTACTACAATGGTCCTACTAAATACCATCCAAAACCATCATGAAGTAAATACAAAAGTATCATTTCAAAATACTATGTAAATCAGTTTTTGTACGTATAACTAACTGTCTCATACAATCATCTGATTGGGTATATATAAATAAATACATATATATGAGTATGAGGAAATGGCCTGTCCATACTTTCAAATTACATTAATTTTATGGTCATTAGGACCATAGATTTAATTGTGTTTCTAATACAGAATCCCACTTTAAAATTATTTTATTTATTTCATACAGAGTTACACATCCCTTTCATTTTGTTTCTAAAACAGGATCCAATATACCTGCCATTTTGTTTCTAAAACAGGATCTAATATACCCGCCATTTTATTTTTGTCTTAATACAGATAATGTATATACCATTCGTTTGATATTGTTTTTAATACAGAGTTATGTATCACACATTTTTATTCTGTTCCTAAAAGAGTTACTTATCACAGTTTTCTTTAGTTTTTTAATAACAAGGTTATATATCCCAATCGTTTTGTTTATAATATAGATTACCTTATCCCAGTAAATCAATTTTTGTATATATAACCATCTGATACAACCATCTCATTTGGTATATATAAGAGTATGAGGTAATGGTATGTCCATGCTGTCCTTTTACATTAATTTTATGGCCATAAGGACCACAGATATAAGTAAACATCATTAAAACAACAATTTAACAAAGAGGAAAGTAAAAACTTAAAGAATACTAATGTTCAGTTTTACATGCAAGTAATAAATATATCAATGTTAATAATTATATCATCTAGAATGGACAAAAAGAAGTCATTTAGACTATCTAATGTAGGCTCTGTCAAATTCTATTCTACCACCAATCTATTATGTACTACATAAAGAAACTCCTTTTCTTACATGTATATCAAACTAAGATCTCTAAAAACCCATCCAATATTCTCTTATTCTTAAGCTTTTTAATATTGCAATTTCTACCTCACCTGAAGAAAAAACTCTTCTATAACTTATAAGATGACTACCATATTATGAAAATAGGCTTAATATTGTTTTACCTAGTCACGTCAGTTTTTCCATACCTTAAACTTGTTGCTTCTATTCTTACTGCTTGTAGTTTTGACAGAAATTTCAAAAGTTTTGTTACTTATACTAATTAGATATACTCGGGCATGGTACAGGACTAATGTTTTTGTAATGCTATGTAAAAAATATTTTGTATCTTGTAATTTCTAAAGCATAGAAGACTTACAGTTCACAGACTCCAGTAAGTCATTAATTTAAGTGCCAAAAATAATAAATCTTAAAAGCAAGTTCAAAGACTGAAGTATGGGTCAGTTACCACCTCTTTTTTACTTAGTCAAGTTAGTGTGAAAGATAGAGTAATTATAATATCTAATTCTGAAGTTCAAGTAATTCAGACCTCTTGTTCTGTTACAAAAATGTTGCCAACTTGGATGCACAAGTTCATATTTGTGTTTTGTTGTTTCTAAAGTTAACCAACTACGTCTAACACTTAACATTAACAGTAATCGACATAACCGTTAAAAGTAAAACTTAAGTTAAAGTATGGTCTAGTATCTACAGATAACACTTTACAAATTACAGTACCTCACTCCTTGCCAGACTATATTATTATTATTAATAGTCTAGATAACAAACCTCTTTCACTAAAAATACATTTACGAAAAATACACCAAATTCTTTCAAAACGAAATCTATGTTACTAAAAGTTTGAAACACTTTACCTTTTCTTACGTTTGACAAAAATAACGCGTCTATGCTAATTCATATATGAACACGCTTCAGACCTCTAACGTTACGCTCACAACTTCGAAACAGAAGCCCACGCCCAACAGGAAATTGCAGCCCTCTAACAACAACCGTATTAATAATTATGAATGCATTTCAAATACGGTTGAAGTTCGACAAAACAGAAAAAGGTTCACTCTCAAAGTCTTTAAATTGATACACACATACACATATATAAGCTATATACCGTTATTTAATGCTTATCGAAAATTAGCTACGAAGAAGAAATATAAACCAACTTTAAAATAACATGACCAGCTCGTCACAAATGAGGGTTTGATGGTAATGTATATATTTTCTCGGGACGACACTTTCTTTAATCGTGAGTACCCGCCCTCTTCCCCCACTTCCAGTTGTTTAGCCATAAGCCTGAAAGCTTATAACACCAAAAACCGGGTTGCGATTCCCGTGATGAGCAGAGCACAGAAAACCCTTTATGTAGCTTTGCGACTAACAACAAACAAAGAAGCACCTACTATTAGTAGTATTAATAATTTATATTGTAAGTGTTTGTTTGAAGTTAAGCACAAAGCTACACAATAGGCTATCTGTGCTCTGCTCACCAGGGGTATCGAAACTTGGTTTCTAGCGTTGTAAGTCCGCAGATATACAGCTGTGCCACTGGGGGGCATTATATTAGAATAAGGATACACATTTACATTTAGCTTTAGCATGAGTTATTTTCTTGTGAATCAATGTGAAAAACTTTTAATTAAATTGAATAATGTGAAATATGACTATAATTTCCGGTATAAATTCTTTCCGAGGAATTTCAGCAATACGAGGAACTTCAAGTCCTTTCTTAATTAAAACTAGTTTATTCTTTCTCGATACAACTTTGTAATACACAGAATTTCCACAGTCACTTTAAACTTAACAACCTTTATAACACACGCTGTAAATCACAGCGATTCGCACACTTTACTTACGGTGCCTACTGTTCCCTTGACTCAATTATCTATCTTCTCAATCTCTCTCTTCGATGTATCTGCCCCGCTGGTTTTTATCGCCAGGCTTATATATATATATGTAAAGGGCGTCTAGCAAACACTAGGACGTTCGCGGGGTTCCTCGATAATTCATGATCCTTCGAGAAACTTCAGTACGCATGCTCCCAGCGTCGCGTGACTTCCGCTGTCGTAACACTGCCCCTTCCGTAGTATTGTTTGTCTCGAACAATAGCCATTTACATTTAACCAATAGATAATTAACAATAACTTAATTAAATGTACAGAATTTACAAACACCAAATTAAAATACAACAAAGTCCTTAATTTTACAGAACGTATCTTCTTCCGTACTGGTCTCCATCTCATTGGCTTCTGCTTCATGTGGGGTTCATCTGCTTCATCAAGAAATGTCCTATCATCGGTAACAG